CCAGCGTTTTTTAGGCCCTAGGCCCCCCTTTTTAAAGGTGGGGCCCCAACTTAAAATTTTTTTTTTTCCCCCCCTTTTTTTTGGGGGGGGGGGGGGCCCCCCCCCCCCCCCCCCCCCCTTTTTTTTTTTTTTTTTTTTTTTTTTTTTTTTTTTTTTTTTAGAAAGAATTTCAAGCAAGCATGCAAACAAATAATTTCTTGACGAATCTAAATTTTTATAATTTTATATAGAATAAAGCATATATTATTTTATATTTTATTGCATACCAAAAAAATTAAAAATTAACACTCATACAATCCCAATAACCAAAGCCAGAATAGGTCGACACATCTTGTGGTAATGTTTACCTATGGCTGGAATATTTCATCTCCAAAATACTTGACCAACGCAAAGCAAAATAAAGAAAAAGAAAAATCGCTTTAAATTATTTTGTCAGTAGTAAAGTAACGAATGAATTTGGAGTAAAAACCGACCAAGTCAAAGTCAATCAATACGAAACTCCTTAGTATTTCTTTGTAACAAATGACCCTAGCGTTAACAGGATCGTTATAAATCTCGTTTAGTAATTAATGTAATCCCCGGCGGAGAAATCCGGACAAATTCATGGACTAGTTCTAAATGGGACGTCAATTAATTCACTAGTCTGTGTACCTTTTGTAATCCTTTGTTTATCTGTGCATTAATGGCGGATGGCGGATGCGCCATTTTGTTGTTATTGTGACATCGCCATTACTCCTACATCGGTTGTTAATAATTGGGTTGACTTCGTTTATCTACGTTGTTATTTTCTACTTACTACCAATACTAGTAATCTACCGACTTTCCTTCCTGCAGCTAACTCTGTGCCTACGAAATAAACAAAGAAAAACTTCTTTTCGGCATTAAGAAAAGCCCGTCAGCTCGTAATTAAGGCGTCACTTGACCATGAGTTCATCATTAATCAAAGCGGCCTGATGATTAATTCATTACTTAACTGTAATCGTGCTGTTGTTTTTATTATCTAAATATTATACCATCAAGATTAATCTGTTTTAAATGAAACGACAGTATTAATAGAGGAGTTAGTAATGCAGACAAACATACACCGCGTTAGAAGCAATAAGTAATTAGACTAGTAATGTCAAGTTCATTTCGTAACTAAGTGTGGGACATATAGTCTTATATATAAAAAAAAACAGATTTGACCATGAAAATTTTTATATTTTCATGGTCAAATCTCTGTTTAAAATAAGTTGTGAAGTTAACTATTACAATTCGTGTTTTAAACCGTTACAGTGTTCTATTTAAATGCGCACTATTCGCATAAACTAGACATAATACTTAATGTTTCTAATCAATTATAAATTCTGATACATTTAAAAAGTCTTTAAACATGTTGGACACGGGGGGATCGAACCCCGAAAGAGAATTTCATTATTAGGTATCACTTCGCTATTATTAGACCCACGAGCCCGGTAAAGAGGTACGTAGAATATTTAATCCAAAGAGTCTTTAATTTAAAGTCCAAAATATCGAAAGAAAACTTTCTCCAAAAGTAAAATTAAACATTGAACAAAAGCTAATATAGAATATTATTTTCTATTAAGATAACAATTTAAAAAATCTAGAGCACAAATAACTTTCGTTCACGGGTGAATGAAATGAATGTAAATATAGAGTTAAATGAACTAAATGAATGAGTAATGTCTGATCTGGCATACCTTGAAGCACCTACGGACTTATTTGAAAACATCAAACGAATTCTTTCTAGTTCACTCTGTTGACTGACAATTGGAATGGCGCGAAAATTGTATATATGATACTTGTTTATTAGACTAGATAAATTCGGGATTAATGCGTCATGATTTTTTTATGAGAAGATATTTCAGAAAACACAAAAGTGACAAACTTTGTACCTTCGATGCCAAAAGACTTTTTATGTGGCTTTTACGATAATTCATATCAATCATAGTATTACTAGATGTGTCAGCGACTTCATCGGTGTAGAATAGTTATTTTGGACATCCAAAATTCCTTTTTGCAAACCTCGTCCTCTCCTCCTCCGTCGTCGTCGCGCCCCGTCGTTCTCGCAATTTGATTTTAAAAGAATACATATACTGTTGCGAATATTTTTTTAAAAATTTTAAGGAATAATTCTTTCCTACTTTTTTTAGTATCTGGAACCGATTTTACAGCGTACACATTGAAAATCCACACAGTTGAATAATTTTCCTCGTTTTTTCCAAATTTTCCGCTGTTTTTTCGCTCCCATTAGCCGCAGCCCGATCTTTTATAGCATACAGTCTTCCTCGATAAATGCTCTAACAAACAAACAAACTTTCCAGTTTTATATATTAGTATAGATTACTTTATAGATAATAACATTAGTATAGATTAAATTTAATTACGGTTTCCACATTAAAAGAGAACATAATAGTTAGATTCAGTTAAAAAAATACAATTCTTATCAAAATTTCACCTATTATTATTAGGATTTAGACAACTTGAAATAAAATGGTGTCACTCACTATACTTTCCTATAGTCATGACATAATTACGTCGTAAATAATTACGACACCTCCCGAACATTATCACGACTTGATAACCTTTTAACGAGCGTTATATTAATTTCATGTTAACAACGGTTTTAACGAGAAAGTAAATAAAAAATAATAAGAAATAGGGGAACAATCAGTACCCTAGAATAACAATTTTTAACTGGGGAGTTCTGGAAGATTAGCAGCAACCGCTAACTTAAGATATAAGGCGAGGTATTTCAAAGCGTTTAATTTAATTTAACTTTCTTTCTTAGTACATAGTCGTAATTATGCAACAAACTAATATTACAAATATATCATCGCATTGTTCCTTTATTCCCAACGGTATTTTGCATTAGAAATACGTTAGAAGTTCTTGACCTTGAACGCTGCAAGCATAACTAATACTAAATTATACCTTGTTAAAGGTATAAAAAGTAGTAAGTTATGCCTACCATATTTACACGAGTAACGATTGTTGAGAGGGTTTGTTTTTTATCTTTAATTCTCTTTTCTCCAAAGACATTTCTTTCTATCCTAAATCAAATAAGTAAGTATCCAATATAAATTCACTTGATGGAAGGTAAAATAGCCCAGCCATATAATATCTTAACAAGATGCGCTGTCGGCCTATTTCAGCTTTGGTTATTCGAAAATCCACACTGATACCGAAACGCGATTAACTTCACGGCTTTTTTATCTGTGGACGGCGGTTCATAACCCGGATGGAATTTAGTTATTCCTACCGCCAACTAAATATCAAGCTTTCCTGACGAAGTCCAACATGTTTTGAAAATTATAATTAAAAACATGTTAGAACCAGTGGGAATCGAACCCCCGATCTGTCGACTCCAGTATTCCGAGAATCCAGTATTATTTTAGTAATTATGGTGAATCCAGAATAGACTAGACGTAATACTGGATTCACAGCCATTAGCCAACCAGTGTTTCGCTGCCCGGATATATTAGTATGGAATTAAGAATCCTTACTCAATTAGCCAATTTTGCTGATCCGGGCGGATATTCTTACTTGACTAAAATTACCAAGACATTCCTTATCTGAATATAAGTCGAGACATTAATTAACTGTCAGAAGTTTAACCGTCAGAGCAGAGTCAGAACAAGTAGAATAATACTATATATATAAGTGAAATCCCGTTTCCCACGTGGGGCATGGGACAGACACATTTCTGTGGCCGTTTTACTAAGCAGTTCTTTTTTATTTCTGTGTCCTACCAATCTGTTGTTTCCCCGGAATTTAAAATCGGGACCTTGCGCGCGTAACGAAATGTTAGGCAACACTTTTTGACCATTTAGCTACAGAGGCGATCAGTCAGTATACATAATACACAGCATTTCTTACATGACAAAATGTGATATGCCCCAGCCACATAATATCTAAAGCAAATGCGTTGTCGTCACCTTTGAACAATCGGAATTACTTTCGATTCTACCATTTGTGGTATGGTGATCTCGTGACAGTCATTTTGTTATCCTCCAGATTATCTATTTGAGTTTTTATAATTAATTCGATGCACAAAATCATCAACTTTATAATATTAGTATAGATTCGTCGATATAATAAATATTATTGTATACTCTACTCGAATTTACTAGCCCGCCAAAGCATTCAGGACGTATCGTTTTTAATATTATTTCAGTCACGCGACACAATAAGCCTCATTAGAAAACCGTACATTCCGTTGTTACGAACTTGCTTCGTTGAATTACAAAAGTGTTGTAAATCAATAATAATAAAAACTTTGTAATATGCTATGTGGCAATTACACGATTGTTAAAAGGAAATTCACTTATTTATTATCTAAATTAAAACAGCACGCAACGCTGTGGATGCCCCTTCAAGTCCTGCCCGTGTTACAAATTCTTTTCAACTATAGTCGATTGAATCGGTGTGAAAATATAAAAGTTTTTATTTATTATCATTATTTTTATAATAAACCTTCTATAAAAAGAATTCAAAGGTAAATAAAGTCTATCTTATGACGGTCATTAGAAATTGACCTGTCTATTTTCATATAGGTATGTATGATTTGTAGAAGTCCAATTTGGCCAAAATCATATGGGGTAAAGGATAATTATTATATTTATTAACTCTTTATTGCTTCACACCAAAGTATATACAAATGTTTCTTGAAAATACAATTATTAGAGAATAAAAAATATTACTAGTTATGGGCGGCATTATATAGAGTGATCTCTTCCAGACAACCCTTCTTTGAAGATAAAATAAAATAAGATACATGGGAACGTGCAGGTCGTGCGAAGCTTACGAATAATACGTAGCATTGCAAACACAGTTTAAGAAGGACGTGTCAAGTTTGTGGATGAGAAATTAACAAAAATGTTTATTTACCCATGTTTACTTTTGCATGTCTAATAGAGATTGTATAAAGTAAAAATAATGTATCACTATCTATTATATTTAATGCTATTAAAACGAATTACTACGGGATCTAAACTCACCTATAACTCAGCGGTGCTCGTAAATTGATCGACAATTCTCTCGACGCAGCTCTCCGTCGTTTGTCACCCTCGCGCCAACTAGCGTAACTTCGTGCAAATGACAGCGCACTACACTCACTCACATTCACAAAATCCACTGTCAAATCCACACTATCCATTGTCTCATTAAAACTATCGTTCACCATTCTCGAGTCGAACTCGAACGAACCGTTCACATTATAGTTCTCGAACGTATGATTCGTCAACTCGAAGACGCCGTTGTGCTTCGGACTCGAATACACGTACACTCGATCGAGTTCTGAGTCATTTTGCGTTTTGATAACGAGATTGGCGTGAGTGAGATTCTCTTTCGAGTTCTGGTGGTAGTTCTCGAGGGAAGTGTACCACGCTTCTAGCACTGCTATGTGAGAGTCTAAATCGCGACACGTCAAACGGAACGAGAAGTCATGGCAGTGCTGTTCTTCTACGATTTCTGAAACAAAGAGATCAGCTATAGAGATTATATAGTGCCACATGTGAAGAATATTAAAGTATTCAAACAAAGAGATTTTATTATTCAGCGTTATTGGTTTCTTGTAGAATATACTTCAGCACTATAACACCCAAACAATGGCGGTCGCAATTAGCTTCGGATATTCGGAAATTTACTGAACCCAAAGCGCAATTTACATTCACGACTTTTTTACTTGGTGAATCTACCACGGAAAAAAATTTATATGATATTTTTATTTATTTAATGTGTATCTAAAGAACTTCATCTCAAAAAAAATCTTCTTCAGGCGATTTCTAATATAGTTTCAGACACATTATAAATTTATTTTAAAAACATCTTGGACTCGCTTAGAATTGAATCCAAAGCCCGTTGAGTAATAGCCACACGTTGGTACAATTGGACGAACCTGTTGAAATATTGTGGGGCATAGGTTTTGGCCTTTTAGAAGTATTATCAGACTTAGATGCCAAGAATCAGGATAGAGGACATTAAAAATTCTAACGAAACTAGATAGGTGAGCGAAAATTACTTTTATCCTTACAGTTGCAGTCTAGCGAAGAGATAAAGAATGCAGAGAGTTTAATTAAAACTTCTAGAGAAATGTTAGATATATTTAACTTAACTGCAGTTCTTAGTTAAGTTAATTGAGGACCAAGTTAATTACGTTAAATCATTTATGGTATATTTATGTAAATTGTAATTATGTTTCCTGTTTTGTTATGATAGAGGAAAACAGACAAGTATAGAAGATGGAACCATTCCCCACAATTGATATTCAGCTTCCCAGACCGGTGGGGATGGAATTCACGACCCGTTGATTATTTGCCATACATTTGCTACCATAACAATTATATCGTTTCAATTTATTTTATTGCTTAACTGTGACTTTTATTTTTCTAGGTGTCCATTTCTCTTGTCCTATTGTCAGACATGGGGTGGACACTGTCCCCTTTTTCATTTATCGATTTTTATTAAGCAAGTCTTTGATCAAACTTCCGTGTCCCTGCCTGACCAAAACGACTTGTATAATTTAAATAAAACACTTTAACGGTTTAAAACGCGATATATTAGTTAAACTTCTAAATCTATAACTAATATATCGCGTTTAAATCCGTTAAAGTGTTTTATTTAAATGTGTACTACTCGCGTAAACTTTCCAAATAAGTTTAACTAATATATCGCGTTTTAAACCGTTAAACCGACAATTAGATGTTAAAATAATTTATAAACATGAAAATCGTTATGAACCTTTAAGGAGAAATTCAAGTACTATATGAGGCCGCTAGAGGCAGAGTAGCCCTAACTGCAATTTTATGCCTTGAGTTACTTATACATACATAGTCTAAAAATGATAATCTCGCATGGTGGCCTAAAATTGTTAACATAATTCTTACACCAATAAAAGTACAAATGTATTTTTGCATTCCTTATTGAAAACAGTTTTCTTATTAGGCCATGCCTCTGCAGCCTATATGTACTGTTTTCTTACCAGTAGAATATAATGGTGTACATTTACTTATGGTAACAATCTTCGTCAGTTTAAAGATAAAAACTATAAAAAATAAAAGATTACTTTTGGGGTTTTCTCGTTACTTTATAACTCATACACAAATAATACTACAAACTCATTTTCGCCTTAGTTAATTGCGCAATTTGTATCGTCCTCCTTGTGGAAAATCATATTTTTGTTATTAGGCCACTCTGCCCCTAGCAGCCTCATATGATAAATAGATCGAGTGATGAATTCACTAATGCACCCACTCTGACAAGCCTCTATAACCCACATTACGTGTAACGAAAATTAATGGCTACGTGTTACCTGCCAATGTGTGATAGATGAATGAACAAGCGACGCTAACAGATAATGCAAACTACTTTATAATTATTTTTGTTCTGTAAAGTTAGAGAATTAAAGAAAAGAGTTTTACATATTGTTAATTTGTCAAAAATAGTCTGTAGTTTACGCAGGTAGCACACTTAAATAAAACACTTAACGATTTAAAAAACTAAACCGTTTCGTTCGCGTTTTGAACCGTGAAAAGTGTTTTATTTCAATAGTGTTACTTTAAAAACCTGCTACAATTGACCATTAAATAAATAAAATGACACATATTGTCTTATTTCTGTTCTACGTCGAGTGCTTTGCGTATCAGTGGTTTTTCGTGATTTCGCGTTGTGAAACGTTAAGTCTTTTAAATAAACTACACACAAAACTGTATAATTAATACTACTCAGTGTTATGACTTACGGTTCAGAAACATAGTTTTAAATGAATGTTAAAATCCAAGACATTTTTCATGTGAAGACTTGAGGAGTAGCATTTGGTGAAGATGCGACCTAATTTGACATTTATTATTTCGTATTTGATCTGTTTTTTTATTTATTTGTTACGTAATTTTAATCGTCGCATGAGTGAAGTCGCGAGTCTTCCCAGTCTTTTATTCAAATGTAACTGTATAATCTAATTTCGGCACATTTTACGATTGATACATTTTTAAACAGGAACGGTGAAAGCTAATGGAATTTTTTATACCTTTCTTTATTGCATCTCACTATGAGCCTATCTAGTTTTTATGGTAATTGGAATTAGTGTGGGATAGTTGGCCTAGTTGTTTCGGAGTACTTGAGAAATATATTTACTATTGTAACTCTTAATATATATTATAATTGAATAACTTGCTTAAAAATTTTAATAAAAAAGTATCTATTGGATAATATTTAGATAACGTCTTAGTTTTTTAAACTTTTTGTAATCTTATTAAAATTTCGTCTCGTAGATCCTTCCTTTTTTTTATCAAAAATATATGAACCTATAAACCATTTTTGATTAATATAACGCCATTGTGTGCGATAACATATGAAAAATATTTGACCTTTTATAATAATTAAAGTTGTCAAAAATTTAGTTTTAAATAAAATAGACATTTTTTTTAAATATTTGTGCTCAAAACTACTTTTATTATAAAAATGAATATAAGTACCAGAGACATATTATGTGACACGCCATACATCTCGAAGTCCACTCTCATCTAAAGCACTCTCCCTTTGTTTTGTAATTTGATACATATATTGAAATCATATACCACAAAGATCGATCGAAGATAGAATTTCTTTCACATAGAAATTTAAGAAATAAAGAGGCTTATACTTAAGACTACGGCTGTTTTATAAGGATTTAAAGAGTTTACTTATGTAAAAATTATAGGGATGGGCCTCGACGTACTCTGCTAAATGGTGGGTTTTGATACTCGGTTAACTCGGTTATACTTTTGTTATTTGATAACGAATATACTTTGTTTAAAAACAGTAATATATTTAGGTAGATATAATTAAAACAACAGTGTTAATCCAAAATTATTCTTCAAAAGTATTATTTTTCTAAGAAATCTTTGAAAATCTCGTCTGATAAAATTAAAACTATGCTAATATTTGTCGTAATGTGACAAAGGAGAAGTTAAGATTCAGCCGACGTCTTAATCGGCTAAAATGGGATTTTACTTGAACAGAGTTACTCGGCCGAGTATTTGGTTGAAAAAAATGAGCCAAGTAATTTACTAAGTAGGTACTCGGTACTCGGCAAAAGTGTTACTCAGCACATCTCTAAAATATAATAAAGAAACAAGTTCGAAAAGGAGATAAAAATTACGACACAGGCAGGGCTCGAAGCGGCATCCACAGCGTTCCGTGCTTTTGTTCTAGCCCACCGATTTTTTTAAATTTATATATTGCCATCGTGGGTAAAGGGCACATGTTAAAAATATTAATGTTTTCCAACAAAATAAATTCTTTTAAATAAATGTTCTAACTGTTTTAACCGCGAAATGTACAAGTTAAACTGATTTCGCCACTTTTTCTGTTCCTATGTACGCTTAAAACTTCTAAACTACGCAACGGAGATGCGAATTTGATCTTTTTGTATACAACGTCCACAGTTTTCTGTAGTGTATTTAGTATCAGCATTGCACCCAAGCGAAGCCGGGGCGGGTAGCGAGTAAATAATATAAAAACTTCCTGTTACGAACTTTTTCTCGCTTGAAATGAACATGAATTAAATGTTATTCAAATCCAACAAAGTGTAAACTTCGCGTGTTTAAAAGGGCAGCGGTCTTATTTGCCCGAATCTTTTCATTACAAACGTTTTCCTGGACCTTTCTGCTCCATTAACAAAGCATTATGGGTTCGTGCAAATCCAGGATTTGGGGATAAATTAACAAACGGTGGGCTGAAGCGTGTTTTGTACGTATATTGCTGGATAATGTGAAATTAATATTATTTCTTGAATATTTTTTTCTTAAACAAGCAACATGTACATTAACGGTTTAAAACGCGATATATTTTAGTTCAGCTTGTTTGAAAATTATTTTAAACTACGGCCGGATATTTCGGATGCTTTGCAGGAGCCACGACATATCGTGTTTTAAGCCGTTAAACTGTTTTATTTAAATGTATACTACTCGCGGTAACTACAGACAGTATTTAATTTTAATATTTTTTACATATTATTGCATTGTATAAATAAAAAAAATATTTTAGATTAAAAAAAGGTTAAATATTCCTGCCCGTATCGTATTTTTAATTTGAAATCGATTGTTAAATTAATATTAAACATCCCAATATGTTTATAATCAGTTTTTACTTTTTCGGAAACATCGTGGACTTTGTCTGGATATCTGGATTTTAAATGGGTAATAGGAGTACAATTCGGATCACGAGCCAAAGATTAGCTATATTTTGGTATTTCAAAAATAGCTTAACAGACTGGCTAGTTCAGTCATTATGGATGTACACAGATTGGGAGCAGTCAGACTAATGCAATTTAGTAGCAAGTGTGCATTGCAAAATAACCCTCACATTCCGTCTCTATCACATTCACACACATTCCTATCTCCCTCTACCTCACACGAACTCACCCTAAAGTACTACAAATTCGGATCAAACGTTGCCATGACAACGGTCCTAAACAACGCCATTTGTTGACA